ACATTGTTATATTATTAAGCCACTGTATAATCAGACGACATCACCCCGCAAAACAACCTGGTGTTATAAAAGAAGGGTTGCCTGATGTAATAAATTAAGGGGGGCTATGGCATTCCATGTTCGTCAAATTGTAAACGTGCATAAAGAGGGAAAAAACACACTGGAGTAGAGAATATATATAATAAGAATAATATAATAGAATAATAAGAATCTTGAGTAATGAATATAGTAAGCTTTACATCTGTTTTTCGTTGACCTAGATCAAACGCCTGGGGTCGAGGACATCACATCTATAATGTTAACCGTCTTTATTACACTAGTATAATCTACTAAAAAACTATGCCCTAAGAGGGATATAGTCCAATGCCATAACTGCCAGGCTTATGGCCACACAAAGCACTACTACCATCATTTACCGATATCTGTGAAGTGTGGTAAAAATCACAAAACAGAAGACTACAGAAAGCTTTGATAATAGCCAGGTTTAGGTGCACTATGCCACCAATGGCTAGCTATAAGATATGTGATATATACAAAACCTTAAAATCAAGGATAAAGACAGCTCTCATCCAGATCTTCTAGACTATTCAGGCGTCCCTCCAGAATGGCAAATGAACATTTGTCCTTCGCCGAAATGTTAAATGGGGAGCTAGAACCCCGAATTTCCGAGGGCGGCTTCATTCCTGTCTGCAATAAATTCCCATCATTGTAAAATCATCTCAGCCAACAGTCCCACATATTGGCCAATCGATCCAAACTGCAATACCGATCTCCTAGACTTCTTCATCCAAAAAGGTCTAGAGCCACTGGAGTATTCCGTTTCAGGGCCCATACCCTAAGCCTTTCCACATCGCCAACACCTAAATCATCTCCATCTTTATTCTCAGTTAACTGGAACCTTTTTCAGCAAATAATAAACGAAATAAATGACCACAGAGTATCCTCCTGAAAACTTACTTACTTAAATTACTTCATGCCCTCAATTCCACAAGCAGTTTGAACTGATTCCTCACCTCTTCCTTTCATAAACTACTGCAAGAAAAATCCTTCACCTCAAGAACATACACACCTCATTCATGCCAAACGATGTTCCAGGACCCACTGGCAAAGAACCAGGCATCCTGACGACCGGAAATCGTACAACCATCTTTGCAAACTGCTAAAAAAGAAATTGACTACTTTCAGATCCCAATCCTTCAATTCCCACCTCTCCCCGCCCTCTACTGATAATTTCCTCTGGAAAGTAACAAAAAAAAAAAACTTAAAATATTCCCCATATCCCATATATCCCACCCCCTTGGGCTAGTGAATTGGATACTCTTTGGAAAGAAATTAAGAATTGCATCATCGATACAGCTAGTGAAGTAAATGGTATTAAGAAAATGAGGCCGTCTACCAAAAAAACAAAATGGTGGAACGATTAAAACCGGTCAGAAATATAAAAGATGCAAATGGAAAGTTGGTGACTGGAGAAAAAGAGGTATTAGAAGTTTGGAGACAGTTCTTCCAGGAAAAATTTCGTATGGAAGATCACCGACGCCATAATCCCCTCTGTGATCCAAGTCTTCCGGGTAAACGTCTTCCACCATCACGCTCCTGTTTACTGCAGAAGGAGAGTGATGGTGGAAGAGGTTTACCCGGAAGACTTGGATGACGCAATATGCGAGGATGAGGTGAAAACGGCAGTATCCAGTATCCAGTAGACAGAATCAAAATGGGAAAAGCACAGGACCAGATGAACCAGAAGCATCAGGATGAAATAGCTCCAGAATTAATTAAATATGGAGGCAACGAAATGATCAAGATCCTTCAAACTCTTTTCCAAACGATTTGGGACCTGAAGCTGATACCACGAGAATGGGAGAACAATATCATAATCCCTATTCACAATAAAGGCAGCCAAAGCGAATGCGGGAAATATAGGCCAATATGCCTCTCGTCAGCTGTGTACAAGATATACACAAGAATTCTCAGAATATGAGCTTAACAATTTCCGTATAGTGATCCCTAACTGGATATTTTTGGCTATAATTCTATAAATCCGTTATTTTTAATCAGATTTCCTTGTTTCTTCGTTTTATAGCAAAACTGTTAGGTGAGTAATGAATATATTATCAGAAATAATATATGAAAATACAAAAATAAATGACAGTATGGTAGATAACGTGAGATATCTTATTATAAAATTCAGTTTTTTTTCCGACCATTAAAAATTCTTGTTTTAGGTTCTAAATACTTTACTACATTCAAATAAGATATTATAGTTTATGTTTTTTTATCTTAATAAATTTGAAATCTGGTTCATTCTGCTGAAAAGATAGTTTCTCGAAAACTGATAGATTTTTATTGTAAATATCAGAAAATGTCAATATTATTGGACTTTCAAAATGATTGACGAGCAAAATGATATTTTTTTTTTTTATACTTGTACATGAAACATGATTCAGAACTTCAACATAAAATTCAGTATCGAATTATTTCATCTTAGCTTATCTTTTAAACACTTTTGTTGACTCATACCGGTTAATTCTCGTCCATGAATTGTACTTTGCACAGAATCACCATGGAACTTACAAAATTACCTAAAATGTGAAATAGTTCACGATGAGCAAAATAAATGTTGTTTTTTTCGTATTTCTATCCTCTAAAATGTGGAAAAGCATTTAAGTGGACATTAATAAAGATTTTATAATAATTCTGTGGAAGGTTAAATTATTAGTTAGCCAAATTAAGGCTATATTGTACATATTTTTCAATACTTTAATTAAATTCAGCAACTTATAATTCAACAACAAGAAAATCTGGACGTGGATAGCTTAGACCTGATTGGGTATTGGTAGTTTTAGTCCAGAGAAGAACATACAAAGTGTCATATCCATTTGGTACCACTGTGTGCAGTCCGTTATCGAGAAACTTTTCAATCAAAATCTAAATAAAAAACTAAAGAAAGTGAAGGACTCTCGGCACTTGTTCATAATCTCTAAGTGTCCAAAATAATAACTCCTAAGTACCTAAATTACTAATAAACGCTTTTATAAATTTTGTGCGAATCTAACATATGTGCTAAAAACATTAATCAATTAATTATTTAAACATATGTATTTATGCTTTATGAAGTTTCAAATTAACATTATACGGCTCTAACAATTTTCATGAAACTTTCTTCTATTTTTCTACTTTTAGTCTTTTACAAGTTTGTATTTTTAGTGAATTCACGAGACAATACAAGAAAAAAAGTTATCAAGAAAATTGTTTTGGGGAGCTAACTCACCACGTATACATCTATCGCTTTTCAACTGATCTAAAGGTTTCAGAGCCTCTTTTGAAGCCTATTTTTTGAAAGGTCATTAAATTTCTGACATAATTGTTGTCATAAAAATCATCTGAATCGGACCAGTTTTAGCTGTTATAGTATATATTGTTTTTTATACGTTGATTTTAATGCTGGTTCACTTGCCCGTTTACATTGCTTGTTTCAAACAAGGAATAGTACCATAATGATATCACTATCGGTTTTTAGGAAAATGAATCTATTTCAATTGTTTTTGGTTTTTTTCTACAAGCGTGTTTCATGTGATAATATTCCTATGTACACATTTACTTGATGTATTCATACTAATACAGTTGTAAATATCATAATAAAAGTTAAAGTTAAAAAGTTTTTTTCTAATAGAAACATTTAAAGTTATATATATTTTTTTAAATATATAGGAAAGTCTTGTAAGTGGACACAATAGATTTTTAACTAAAATCATTGGGAACAATACATAAATTGTCTTTACTCTACAACTCTTTCATTCCAAATAATCGGAGGGATGGAGGAGCGTTATCATTATCTTTCTTTATTCTTAATTTTACTGATTTAGTTGTACTTTACACGATGTTTATGTCAATAAATCATCTAATTGTACTTATTTTGTAGTGTTTTTCTAAGATTTAAAGAAGCATATTTAATAAATAGCAATGAACCGATAGTTAACAAAACCATGACCAAGAGCAAGGTTTGTTGACGCAAGACCAAGACCAAGACCGCCTCGGTTTTACTTTTGGGCAACACTAGTGGTAGGGCCCCCAAGGATGATAAAAAATGTGCGATATCTAATGGAGAATGTAATACAATTATGGGATAACTTCATTATCCCTTTACATCCCTGCTCATATTTAATGTTCCCGTTAACCGTTCTCTAAAATGATCCAGGTCTTAAAATCATAGAGAAGTATTTGAAACACTTGTGTCTTGTAGAAATGTATTTCCGTTGTATTGCCTGTAGAATTAGTTGATCACGAAATGCCTAAAAAGTCCAAAGACGTTAAATAACATTCAATAGCCAAAACAATCATTTACTTGATCTGTCCAGATATCTGAACTCAGCTAATTTTCTAACTAATATGAGCCGATCATCACTGCCCGATGAGGAAATTGCTGTAGGAGGCTCTACGAGGTCCTGACTATGAGGCCAAACTGATAAGAAATGTGGATAGTAGATGTGTAGATTGGATAGAAGTGAATGTCTATCCAATTCTATCCATTGACGAATTATTCTCCTCAATTGATGAGTGAGCAAAAGCACCCACATTTCAAGGAATTCTTGAGAGTGTTGAAGATAATAATAAGCCGAAGCCAGTTCTCTTTGATTGAATAAGGGAAGGTATTAAGTACAAGGAAGGCCACTAGACAGGGCAGGGACAAAATAAGAAGGTAGCCAAAACTAAAGAAAGAAGAGATCTCCCCACAAAAATTTCCGATTTTTTTCATTAATTACAATAATAATTTATCCATCCATTAATTTATTTAACATTTATGTTCTTTGCAGCCAAAATAAATAAATCGTCGTGGCAAACATTCAGGGACATTTAAGTTCATTTAAGAGATAATATATTTTAGCGGTGGTTACTGGGTACAATATACACTAAATGTATTGAAAATATTCTTATTTCTACTATCGTGATTCACGGCATCCTCTAGAGATTAATAAACAGATGTTTACACGGATAAACAGATGTTTGAAGTTGTAAAATACAGATGTTTTTTTTTTCATTTATCAGCGTTTCTACATTATTTTCAGGCAATGATACTTCTACTAAATCACTTATTTATCGTTATATCATGTAGTTTGTTTTGTACAGCTGTAAAACGTGACGCTCCCAATCTTCGAATCATTGGAGGGCAAGAAACAACCATCATCGAAGCACCATATATAGCATCTTTACAGAGAAGAAGAGGGAGTCTTGCAGTGCATATTTGCGGAGCTGTTATTATAACGAGAAGATATTTATTGACCGCTGGTCACTGTGTAACTGATAGTAAGTGAATAATAGAGGAATCAATTACATTACGAGCAATATTCATAATTGATACAAACTTTCATTCGTATTATTTAAGCGCACGTGTACACACTAATACACAAAAATAAATTTATATTTTACATTAATCTAGAAAATAACTAATATCTCATTTTTTTTTTATATTATGTATCTTATCGAGTTTTTATTTAATATTGAAAATTGACTAGATTTTTGAAGAGCATTGTTTTTCATCTTGTTTAAGAAACAGCCTGTCTTCTAATTAATTATCCCTCAATTACTGGATTACTTAGATGTGATTACTCAAATTCAAAAATACAGTAATGTCATGTCGGTGTGAGAAAGAAAAGTACCCACTGGCATGTATCTTTTCTATAGCCATTAGCGGATGCAGAGGAGGAGCGCCCCACCATCCTTCCTATGGAAAATGAGAAAAAATGTTATCTTGAAAATTGTAACTAAATAACCGGCATTTTTATTTCTATAGTTTTAATTGAAATGTGAGTTGTATCAAATTATTAATTTTATTCATACTTGGGACTTTAAAGAATTTGAATATTTACACTATAAATTCTTCATTTATATGGTAACTTCTGAAGATGTGACTGAAAGTAGATGCTAGAGTGCTTTGATACCTTGAAAAATATTTTTTAGGTTCATATAAGTCAATTATACATTAAATGAACTTTGACCGCTATTTTATCACAAAATACTTAACGAAACATGAATAAAAAACTAATATACACATTTCTTTTCATATTCGTTTTTATAGAATACACCTGTTTCGCAAGTGCGCCTCCCTCAGAAAATGCTTGGATCCGCCACTGTCCATAGTATTATTCTATGGAAAATAAAAATATATAGGATGTCTCTCATTCACGACTTTTTCAGTCCCCCATTTTTTTTTTTTTTTTTTTTTTTTTTTTTTTTTTTTTTTTTTTTTTTTTTTTTTTTATGCCCCTGTATAGATTTTCCAAAGGATTATTGGTAGTAAGTTATGTATGTATTTATTTTACAGTTGTACCACAGTTGGCATGATAGTCAATTATTAAAGTTATTTGGAGCCAACGACACATGATTAGACATGTAAGCTCTGCACATGGACATTAAATGATGTCAATTTATTCAAATTTGTTATAATTTAATTAATAATAATACTTTTCATGTAATCAGTCAGAAATTATAGGTTTTTTTTTTTAATTTTGTAAAAATGGTCTTCTTTCGTTAATAAATTTAACTAGTATTGTAGTCTTTTAATATTATATTTATTATAATACTATCGGGAATATTTTATTTATTATTAAAAATATTAATATTATATAATTTAAAAATGATTATGATTCTGATTTTGGAAAGTGTTGCAAAACCGAAAACACACTTATTAACTATAGGATTGGCACTACTGTGCGTGGCCTTCATCTTGCAAGGTGAACTCTAGCTAGTCCAAAAATCCATAGATACTCATCGCAGGAGAAGAATTCAATGTAAATTGCGAAAGTATAATATAATAATATACTATAAAAAGGATAATAACAACAATATATTATGTTGTTATGGATTTAGAAGCAAAAAATCTGATGTGTTCACTCACACGACTTTCCTACCTATTTCAGAAACGTTTTTATATCTTTACATATGTTCATGAAGAAATACAAAAGAATTGAACTACATACATTTTCCTGAAAATTGATCAAACAAAAGGTTTGAGTACGATTTATTTGATAAACTAAAGCAATGTAACCGGCTTAAGGTAGATCAGTGTAAAAATTTCAATAGCCTCTAATATTCCTGATCAAAAACTTTTTGCCATAGCCTAATTTTGTCAAACAATAATTTCTGTTAATAGTAGAGATAACAGTGAAGCTTGAGTGATGCGGGCAACGGATTTTCTTACACTAAGTTATCTTTTTTCTCTCATTTATCCCTTTCTGACACCAGGATATGTATCCGTAATCTTACATTGGAAATTAAATAGCTGTAACTTCGTTAATAATTGTCCGAAATGAACGATTTTTATATAGTTTTGTATGGAATTTCATTACCACTCAACTTTGAATAGAAATTATTTTCTGGCAATACTGGGCTATTATCAAATTTTTGAAGTGTATTTTAAACGGAGCTAAAGCTAAAAGATTACAGATAACAAATCCTTAAGACCATTATGATTACAAAAAGTCTATTTATTATATCGACGGTAGGCAATAAAAATCTAGTCACTCCGTGTGCTTTTATAAACCACAACTTCAATCTTTGAGCATTTCAGTTGACAGAATGACTAACTCTAATTTCAACATTTTTAAGTAATTAGTGATATTTCTAGTTGAAAAAGTTAACTATACAGACAGTGAGTAAGTTGATACCGGAGTAGCTAGCTGATTGCAGTGTTCAAATATAGAACTGTGAAACATTTTGCCACTAGAAACATCACTAAAATTAATAATAAAGAATGTTGAAATTAAAGTTAGTCATTCTGTTAACCGAAAGGTTCATATAGGTTTGAAAGTATGTCTGAATATTTAACCTATCAATGATTATGGATTGTAGGACTACTGGTTATTAAGCTGTTATTTTCAATAGTAAAGTTTTCTAAAATGAAATTACGAGATTTTTATTGTCTGCCATGGATAGGTCAAAAGTTGTCAAACTAATTGTAAGGGGATAATGTTGGGATTTCACAAAGGGAAAATACATCGAATTATTCACTAATTTAATTTTATAAAAAGTTACTTGATTAGTGTTTGGAATAAACAGCCGATAGATACCTAATTATTTAAATATAATATTTTATTATCTAGAGTTAATACTTATTAGTAAATATATTTGAGATCATAAACATACCCATGAAATATTTTTATATTTAACTTCTTCTTTCACACAAGTACGATGAAATAGTATTTTAAACAATGGCATTGGCTTGATTCGGTGACTTTAAAAACTTTTTTTTCAATCTCACTTCTTCTTTCACACAAGTAAAATGAAATAATATTTTAAAAAATCTCATTGCCTTTAATTCGTGGGTTTTAAATACTTTTCAAATTTATAAAAAGAAATTAAAAGTTTACATATAGTAAGAAAATTTCATTTCATTTCCTTGGGAACATGTGATTTATGTTAAATAATGTTAGTCTTCTGAAATTATTATTTATATTTTTTCATCACTCTTCTTCACCTTCTACAACTTCCTATATAAGATGTTGCTTTTTCTAAAATTCTCAGTTTTCCAACGATATGTTATACGTATACCTTTTGACTAGTAATTCCGGAGATTCATTATTTATTTGAATAATCATTTCAATACCATAAACGAAATAGCAGTGTATATCATCAATTGCCAGGTTACCATTAATCAAGAGATTAATGAAATGTTTCATTCGATTCATCATTGGAATCACCCGGCGCCCCTACGTCTCCAGCTGTGTTGAAGTGGCTTTATATGGCAATATTTGTTTTCTCTTTGTACCTTAGTATAGAACTTTTCATTGAGAAAAATCATAACCACGCCAAAGTGTGCCCCCCTTAACAATTGAAAAACTTGCCAAAATATGACAAGTCAAACATTTTGTTGGCGCAAGTTCCCTTCTGGGTACTCCTGTAATCTCTAATCAGTAACTTGTACAAGTACAAAATAGTGGTAAGGAAAGTAAATTATTATCAATCTGTTCTTTTTTTAAATGAAACATCGAATTACTATGAGTGAAAGAATTTGTATAAAAAATCCATTTAAAGTTTCAGATGAATTGAAACAAGGAAACAAAGAATATATATTATTATCAGCAAAGAAGTATATAATTAGTACTGGAAGCAAATATACAGAACGAGGATTAATTACAAGAGTAAAACGATTTTTCGTACACGAAAGTTACGATCCTACAGAATTATTTTATGATTTCGGAGCCATAGCATTGGTAAAGAATCTCGAATTCGATATAGAAACTCAACCTGCTAAACTGCCGCACGGGAATATTACAGAAACTTCAGCTTTGCTGAATAATTATTCAAACCATAGAACAATATGCAAAGCTTACGGATGGGGAGTCAGTACTGCCAGAACTTATTCAGGCTTGAAGGTCGTGGATTTACTCATGGTTACAGCAGATGCCTGTCAGGAAAGCCTCACAAAAAAAGACTGTAAGATATATATTTATATTTATACCTATATTAAAGCGCATACATTACTATCCTAGAAATATATAACACACTAGGTCGCTTTGAGCAGGCACGAACTATAGGTTTATGATCATTTTAGACCACAAAACACTTTGCAAGATATATTTCTTACAGGAACTTTCTTGTTCCTGATCTCTAGTCTCCTTCGACAAACATTCTTGTTATCTTTTTAGTCGAAGGCTTCCTAGAATCTTTCTACCTGCTTCCAGGTCAAGGCCAAGCAACTTTTTCCTTAAAATCAGTTAACCAGAAGTGCCACTTTATATTAGCGCTGAAACACATTTTTACAATTTTCTCAAAAACGGCTCTAACGATTTTGATTAAACTCGGTGTATCATTGTAAAATTAAGTGGTCTTTAATATCATTTAGGTCTTATCCCCGTTGATGTCACTTTACAGGGCTTAAATGCTAAATGTTCATATACGTCATCTCTAAAGTATCTTTAATATGATTCGTTTTAAATAATTAAGTATCTCTCATTATTAAAAGTTACGAAAAAATATAACTATTGAAAGAATTTGATAAGTTAATAAAGGAGAAAAACATAAAAATGCTTATCAAGGTTGAAAATGAATCTCCGGAAATACTAGTCAGAAGGTATACGTATAATATAGCGTTAATACGTTAATATAAAGTGGCACTTCCGGTTAGCCGATTTTAAGGAAAAAGTTGCTGTCACTTCTAACGAATAAATCTATCTTAAATATGTAATATTAGTTTCGTACGCCTTTTTCGTTTTCGAGCTAGTGTTCAAATACACACAGACACTGACCATTTTTGTTTATTTGGACACAGGGTACCCAAAAACGTGTATTTTCGTTGAAAACTCAGATTAAAAAATTTTCACGATCGCAATACTTACCCTTACTATATATTACATATATACGTTAGTGAAAGTAAAAATTCAATACACTCTAATATTGCTAATCAAAAATATTTTGCCATTGCCCAATTATGCTAGACAATAATTTCTGTTAAAAGTAGAGGAAATGGTGAAACTTGTGTGATGCGGGCACCAGTTTTTTTTACTTTCAGTTAGTTTTTTTTCTCTCTCTCTCTCTTTCACCCCTTTACGGCACCGGGATTTGAACTCATAATATCACATACGGAAGTTAATAGCTGTAACTTCGTTAATAGTTGTCCAAAGTGAACGATTTTTATATAGTTTGGTAGAGAATTTCATCAACTTAAAAATCTTTGTTACTTTCAATCGAAAGATGGGATGTCTTACTTAGTAATCTATACAGCTGGCTATATCGTCGGTTAAGTTCTTGTCTTTTAAGTCTGGTATGTGGGTTTCAAGTTAGTCTTTTGTCAAGAAGGAAGCCAAGGTAACGGACTGTGTCTGAGTAGGGAAGTGGAATTGAATTAAAAAGGATTGGCGGACGGGATCTGCGTCGCAGGGTAAAAGTGATATGTTTGCATTTTGATTCATTGATTTTGATGCGCCAGTTGTTGCACCACTGCTCAATCAAGGAGAGGTGAGATTGTAGGTTTAGAGATGCTATTTGAGGATCTGAGTGGGAAGATAAAATGGCAGTATCATCAGCAAATGTAGCTAGAAATGTATCGGGATTTGAAGGGATATCAGAAGTGAAGAGGATATAGAGAACTGGGCCCAAGACACTGCCTTGTGGAACACCAGCCTCAACCGGATAGTAAGTGGAGAATTCGGTGTCACAACGGACTTGAAAGGAACGATTTGAGAGGTAGGATTTGAGGACTAGGTATAAGGATTGGGGTAAATGGCTTTTGAGCTTGAAAAGCAAGCCATCGTGCCACACCCGGTCGAAAGCTTGTGCTACGTCCAGAAAGGCACCAGTGCAGTAATGCTTGTTTTCAAGTGCAGATGATATATGGTCCACAACACGAAGACCTTGTTGGACAGTGGAATGTCTTGAGCGGAATCCAAATTGATGAGAAGGGATGTTGTGGGATTCGATTATGGGTAGGATGCGTTTGAGAAGGATTTTCTCAAAGATTTTTGAGAGGATCGGGAGTAAGCTTATCGGTCTATAGGATGATGTGTTATTAACAGGTTTACCTGGTTTTGGAAACAGGATGATTATGGAATGTTTCCACACCAAAGGAAGGTTGGTTGTGCGAAGGATGCATTTGTATAGATAGGTGAGGAATATGATTGCTTTTTTGGGAAGTTGTCTGAGGATTTGTGAAGTGAGGATATCATATCCAGAGGATTTTCGGGGTTTTAATTTGTTTATAAGGAGTTTGACCTCAGAGGGGTTAACAGGTTTTGGAGGTAGAGAGAGAGGAATTGGTGAAGAGAGGAATTCTTCAACTTCAGCAGTGTGGCTGGGATGGTGTTCGGGAAGAGGGGTGAATGTGTAGGATAAATGTTTAGCAAACTCTTCTGCTCTATTCTATATTGTAGCCGGGCACGTTGATTTGCCGTTTGTTGGTTAGTCGAGTTTCAGTTATTAGTGCTACGTCGATGTTTTTGTCATGCAATAAGATTGTCAGTTCGTTGATGTGGTTCCGAATACCATTCGCATTCCAAAGGAGAATGGAGAGGAATTTGGTTGGGGACATTTATGGAATTCTTGGCAGTGGAATGAGGTTGGATATAACATTGGTAAGTAGCGAAATAAGGGGGTAATGAGAGATCTAAATTCGGAAAGGAAAGATGTCAGTAGGCTTGTGAGGTCAGTGGAATTGGAAGGAGGAGGAACGAATGTATGGGTATTTAACCTACGTTCAGGGATGGAGGGATATGGGTCTTGAGGTTGAAGTGTGAATTCTTGAGGTTTAGATTCTTGTGGCAGGGCCTGAGATTGAGTGTTTACAGTGTCTCCTTTGAACATCTGAGCATAGGACACTCTTCCGTTCACTGTTCTAGAGGGTTGTCTTGGTGGCCTGGATGTCCTTTCTTCTCTAGGCGTTGCGTACATTCGTGTTTTTAAATCTTTGTTTAAATGTTAAATGTTTGACAACCCTTGTAGTTGGCTGGTTGTCCTTGGTGGCATAAAGCTCATACTGCAGGTGAAGTTCTAGACTTCCTACAGTCCTCTGTTTTGTGTTGCTCATCACACCTCACACATCTGGGAATGTGATGACAATACCGTTTCGTATGGCCATAAGCCTGGCAGTTATGGCATTGAACGATGTCGCGCTTGCTGTAGGGCTTTTCTACAACAACGCTTGTATAATAAAGGCGTGTGACCTTGTAGATGTTTTCGACATCGTGTGTTCGGTCAAGGTCAACGAAGAATAGTGGAAGAGATATTTTATTTTTTATTCCAGGCTGTTCTCTGTTCTCCTTAAATATGTTCACTATCTGGCGAACATGGAATCCCATACCCGTGAGCTCTTCTTTTATAGCATCCGTTGGCGTAGATGGGTGCAGTCTTCTGATAACGACCCTGAGCGCCCTCTCTTGACGCAGTTGATACGTGTGGTAATCAGCCTTGGTATCAGATAAATATTTTATGATTTTTCTATAGATTTCTGGAGTGTCGGGCATTAACTTAGTGTCATTGGTGCGGCTTTGGCATAAATATTTTCCTGAACCTACCAGATTATTCAATTGATGACACATCAATTGAAAATTTTTAATATTTCTAACAAATATTGGTGGGGGTTTGGGTTCTGCTTCCATTTGTTCGTTATTTATATTTGAAAGCACTTCAAATGGATTCGAAGTGAAAAACGGCGATTCTTCACCCATAGCTTGAGTTGTCTCATAATTGTTGGGTCGTTTTGAGGAGCCAGGTTGGGATTCCACTTCTTCTATGGAGCTCCCTGGTGTGGCTGGTGGAGTGTTTCTTTTCGAATGCCTTGTCTTTTTTTTAATGGGAGAACTAATTGTAGTATCGAGGCTCCTGAACCTAGAGTTTTTGCCCTTACTCGACATTAGCATGTGATGATATCGCATTTCATATTTATTTTTAAAAGAAAAATTGATAAAAGTGAAGAGAGGAAAAAAAAAATTTATTGAACACGAAAATATAGACGCGCTCTTGGAGAGCACAGATCTGCCTGCCTCCGACGGAGGGATCTAGCCCACTAGTAGGATTAACGACATGTGCAGCTTATGGCTGGCCGTTATCTAACTAACCTAAGGTCTATTTACACTGTTCACTCTTGTGTTGTAAATAAGTGATTACTCGCCTTATTTTTTTGTCCAGTATCAAACGTAATTGTTACTGTAACTGATAACACTAATTGTTCACATTAAACTTGTATACTGCCACTAATAAATGATATTTTTATAAGAGACGACCTGACGTATTTTTTAACTCCTCAGTTTTATTTAACTGCGAGACAGCAAGACTTGTGCAGGTCAGTCTTGGTCTTGCGCAAGACTTGGAGGGTCCGGTCTTGCGAAAATCAAAGCGGTCTTAGTCTTGGTTTTGGTCTTGCAAAAGTGCAAGACCGACACCAAGACCGCAAGAACAAGACCATTTTTGGCCAACACTATTAACAGGTGTATAGTTAAAATTTGAGAATCTTTTTTTGAGATAGAGGGGAGGAGGGTCCAAATTCAATTTCATAAAATTGGATTGGAAGGGGGGAGGGAGTTTGTTTTGAGATTTTTATGGCGGGGCTTATGGAAGTCAAGGTTTTGCAATAGTCATAACAAAAACTTAGTTATTCAGCTATTTGTTTAGGCACCACAAAACTAAACCGTCCACCACCGAACCATTAATATTTGTTAAGTGTTTAATTTTCATTTATGATGAAGCGAGGATATTGTGGAGTCAATTAATTAATCAAAAAGAATTTTAGTCTCTCCACTTTTTTAAACTCTGCTGAGTTAGCGCTTGCAAGATAACCAAAATAAAATTGGACATTGATTCACCTACATCCGTGTAAAATTAGAACTTGATCTGAATATTGTGGCGAGATGGAATTTTTGGATATTTTTCTCCTGAATTTTGGCTAATCCGTTTGGTTAATCCTAAAAATGTATACGACAACATTTGTTAGGCTAGGAAAGTTG